CTCCCTCGCCGCCACCTCCACCACTCTTGCCTCCCTTGCCCTTGCCACTGCGGCGCCTCCCACTAGGAGCAGATGCAGCCCCGACCTCCTCATCACCAAGGAAGTCAACCGCAGCAGCAGAAGCGTAGGAGGGGGCAAGAGGGGAGGGGGAACACCCCTCAAAGAAGGGAGTGCGAGAAGTGCCACGAGCAGCACCTACAATGACTATACTAGTCTCAGCTGCAAGGAGGTGCTTCTCAAGCTCGTCGACAGTGAGGTCTGTGGGGTCAATGGCGAGAAAGTGGTCCCTGACTGCGCGAAGAGAGTCAGGGAGACGGGTGACGATGAAGTAGAGAGTGATGTACATCGGGGGCGGATTCTTGTCTAGGAACTCGGCTTAAAGCGCAGCGTGGTAGCGAGTGTCGCTAGTGCGAAGGTGGGTGATGAGGTCGACGACTATGGCAAAGGCGGACAGCTTGGGGAAAAGGTAGGGCAGTATAAGGCGGCCGAGAGCAGCAGTGGCAGGGGAGGAGTAACAAGTGACTACAGCGTCGTACAGGGCTTTAGAAGTCTTGTGCTGGCCAAAGTGAGCGCGTTTGGCTAACGGCAGATGGTTGCGAACGGCTAGGCAAGCAGCAGCGTCACGGGTAAGCCACTGTGAGCGAGTCGCACTATCAGCTGAGTCAGGAGGGGCGAGAGAGGCTCCAGACGTGTGGTCAAACAACGAAACGCTGTCTCTAGAATCGCTCAGTAGGTACAGCTGTAAGTCATCGAGCCACGTATCGAACTGGATCGGACGGCCCTCCGGACCAAATATGAGAACGCTGAGAGTAGCCATAGCGGGTAGAGCCAGGTGGCGCGTGACGAGCATGGCGGCACGCGTGCACTAGGTAAATGTGCAAGGCACGGCAGGGTGGCGCACGGCCAGGACATGGCGGCGCGCGGGGCAGGGCAGGGCAGCGCGGCGCGCGGGCAGGGCAGGGCAGGGCAGCGCGGCAGGCTGCAGGGCTGCGCGCGGGCAGGGCAGGACGGCGCTCGGTCGGCAGGGCAGCGCGCGGCTAGCAGGGCGGCGCGCGGGCAAGGGCAGGGCGAACGGGCGACGCGGCGGACTGGGGCAGCCCGCACGGGCGACGCGACGGGCAGGGGCAGGGCGGACGGGCGACGCGGCGGGCTGGGGCAGCCCGCACGGGCGACGCGACGGATAGGGGCTAAACGGACGGGCGACGCGACGGGCTGGGGCAGCTCGCACGGGCGACGCGACGGGCAGGGGCAGGGCGGACGGGCGACGCGACGGGCTAGGGCAGCCCGCACGGGCGACGCGACGGGCAGGGGCAGGGCGGACGGGCGACGCGACGGGCTGGGGCAGCCCGCACGGGCGACGCAACGGACAGCAGGGGCGCACGGGCGGCGCGACGCGACGGGCAGCAGGGGCGCGCGACGCGATGGGCAGTAGGGGCGCGTGACGCGACGGGCAGCAGGGGCAGGGCGACGTGACGCAGGGCAGGGCGTGCGCGGGGCGGCGCAACGCAGGGCAGGGCAGAGCGCGCGCTAGGCAGCGCAACGCAGGGCAGGGCAAGGCAGCGCGGCAGCTAGCAGGGCGGCGCGCGGGCAGAGGAGCGCGACTGGTGGGGCAGCGCGACGGACAGGGTAGGGCGCTACGGGCAGGGTAACGCGCTACGACGGGGAATTGTACGGTGAGCCTTAAAAAAAACGGTCCTGGAGCAGAACCTGCTCTGAAACCATGTCAGAAGACTAAGCGAGAACGATGCATTGAGAATAGAACTGGTGTCAGATGGTATTATTTGCTATAGTCTCTAGTGAGGTGCCCCTTACTGAGTACAACTCAATTAGGTTGTAGTGTTTGTACTGCCTTGCCTTCCTATTCTCGACATTCCGTTGCACATCACTCACTATATTTTAAGATGGTATCAGAGCGAGGGGGAAGCAACTGCCAGGAACTCCAACTCAAACTGCCTGTCCTCGAGGACGTCACAGCCAAGGGCAAAACCACCCCCGGCGGCCTCAGGACGGGCAGGCGGGGCAGCTACGACACGGGTGGCAAAGTCAAGGCCGCGGGTGGACGCAAAGTCAGTGACAGCGGCAATGAGAGCGAAGACTGACGACGGAGAGGCACGAGGGTCGGTGACAAGAGAGGCGAGAACACGCGAGACAACAAGACGCACCGTACGGTAGTAGTCAGCGATAGGGGTAGAGAGGGAGGCTGTAAGAGCAGACGCAGGAGGTGAGGGGAGAACAGACACAGGAGGAGTACGACGCGGACCGGAACGAAACAAGGCGGTGCGAAGGTCGGCAAGAGGAGACGAAGGACGAGCACGCGGGGGACAACGAGCAGTCCACTCGTGTGGGACAACAGGAGGCGGTGACTGTAACTGAGGACGAGGGAAAACAGCCGAAGACGAGTCCGGAGGAGGAAACGTAGGACCGTAAGCAGGCAGTGACTGCGGGTGGACAGGAGGAGGGGAGGGAAGACCAAGGGCCCGAAGGCCACTCACTGGTGAGA